CATCTCTCCAGACCTGAGACATTATTAGTAATATTGGAAACTTGCAAACAACCCAAGTGTCCAGCAATGAATGAGTGGATAATGAAAATGTGATATATCCAGACAATGAAATACTATTCAGCTACAAGAAGGTGTGAAATACTGGTACCTACTAAGAAACAGAGAATCTGAAACATTATTTTCTACAAAAGGATCCAATCAGAAAAGACTACAAGTTATATTGTTAGATTTACATAAAAAGCTTACAACGGGCAAACTATATAGACATAAAGTAGATTGCTGGTTGCTTAGTGCTGGTCAATGATGAAGAGTACGTGCTAGTGGGTAAAAAGTTTCCTTTCAGAATGATAAAAAGATTCAAAAATTAGATTTTATTGATAGTTGTACAGCTCAAAATATGCTAAAAAAGTGTCAAACTGTACACATAAACGGATGGTTTGGGGTGGAGATGAAGCTTGTTGGCAGCATGTGTGCCTAGAATTCACAAGGCCCTGAATTTAATTCTCAGCAATGACCCAAAATGAAAATGAATGAGCGAATTACAGGGTATATGAATTACACCTTAAGAAGTCTGTTAAAATTTAGATGGAATGATCTCTCATGTTCACGGATTGGTAAGATTAACTTAGTAAAAATGGTCTTCCTACCAAAAGCAATCTACAGATCCAATGCAGTCTCCATCAAAATTCCAACAAAATACTCTAAAGATCTTGTAAGGACAATTTTCAGCTACATATGGAAAACACAAAAACTCAGAATACCTAAAACAATCTTATATAATAAAAGAACTGCTTGAGGTATTACCATCCCTGACCTCAAATTGTACTACAGAGCTATAGACACAAAAACAGCTTGGTAGTGACACAAAAAAGAAATGTTGATCAATGGAATCAAATGAAAGGCCCAGACATATCAATACCCAATTTTTGTAAAGAAGCCAGAAATACTATTACATTGGAAAAAAATACACCATCTTCAACAGATGAGGCTGGTCAAACTGGAAGGCTGCATGTAGAAGGATCCAAATAAATCTATACTTACCACCCCACAGAAAACCCAACTCCAAATGGAACAAAGACCTCAACATAAAACCAGATAGATATACTGAACCTGATAGAAGAGAAAGCTTGGAATAGCCTTGAATTCATTGGCACAGGAAAAGACTTTCTGAACAGAACACCAACAGCACAGGAACTAAGATCAACAATTAACAGGACCTCATGAAACTGGAAAGCTCCTGTAAGGCAAAAGACACCACCATATGGATAAAGCAGAAGCCTACAGAATTGGAAAAGATGTTTACCAACTCTACATCTGATAGAGAGATAATATCAAAATACATAAAGAACTCAAAAAACTAGATATTAAGAAAATGATCTACTTTTTTAAAAAATGGGATATACATCTACAAGGAGAATTCTTAAGAGAGGAAACTCAAATGGCTCAGAAACACTTAAGGAAATGTTCAACATCCTTAGTCATCAGGGAAATGCAAATCAAAACTACTTTGAGATTTCATCTTACACCTGTCAAAATGGCTAAGATCAAAAACACAGTGACAGTCTATGCTGTAGAGAATGTGGAGTAAGAGGAACACTCCTCCATTGCTGTTGGGACTGCAAACATGTACAGACCTTATGGAAATCAGTGTGGTGGTTCCTCAGGAAGATGGGAATTGATTTACTTCAAGATCCATTCATTATTCATTCTCTATATTCTCTAGAGAACCCTGACTAATACAGTAATAAACCATATTAATGGACTTATTGACAAAAAATCACATTATCTTCCCAATAGATACAGAAGGCCTTTGAGAAAATTCAACATCCATTCATGACAAAAATCCTAGAGAATTTAGGGTTAGAGGGAATATGCCTCAAAACAATAAAAACTATATATGTAAATCCACAGCCAAAAGAGGGCATTGGACCCCTGGACCTGGAGTTACAGGTGGTTGTAAGCAACCTGATATAAGTGCTAGTAACTGAACTTGGGTCCTTTGCAAAAGCAGTTATTGCTCTTAACTATTGGGAGAGCTCTCCAGCCCCCATTTTATGTATAGTACCAGTCATACAAGAAGCCCTGCCATTTGGACAGTGCTACTGTTTGAAACTTGGTCTATAGACTTGACAAAATGAGTGTTTAATTACTGTATATACAAGCCAGAGATTTAAATTTTTGTTTCAAAATTAGAAGTTCAATTAATTCTAAAAGACTTCTGTGTAGTTCATTGTAGTGATGCTAATTTTTCCTGACTCCTTTATATATTAAATGCATTTGCATCCCTCTTCTATTGTCACAGCCTTCTAAAATGCAAAGTTTAAGAGAAAACCTTACCAAGCTACTATCTTCCAACTAGAATCCTTAGTGCTTCTAACCTTTTGTAGGCTGCTGTTCAAGTGTTACTAATTGAATCATGACTAGTCTTTTATGCTAGTGGTTCTCAACCTTCTTAATGCTGTGACCCTTTAATATAGTTCCTCATGTTGTGGTGACCCCAAGGATAAAATTATTTTAGCTGCTACTTCATAACTGTAATTTTGCTACTTTTATGAATTGTAATGTAAGTATTTTTGGAGATAGAGGTTTATCAAAGGGTTCGAGATCCACAGGTTGAGAACTTCTGTTTTTTTTTTTTTTGAGAACTGCTGTTTTAATCAAAGCTAATCAGACATGACCTTACACTGCGCATGCCAAGCAGTGCTTCCTAATGACTAACAGGCACTGGACATTGGTCACCTAAGGAGTACATCTGTAAACAAGTACTTAATTTTCAAACTACTCTTACATTTGTTATTGTTGGCTGTGGTTTTGTAAAGCTTTATAACTTGCCGTTATTAACATTCTAAAGAAGTATAACTTCTAACAAAAGAACAAGAGCAATATTTGAAAACAAAAAAAGCACTTGTGATAATCAAATAACACAAGGACTATACTTAAGAGTTGGTAAAATTTCCTTCATATCAATTTAATCTGTATTCATTGAGATAGAGTTTAGTATACCCAGACTACAAGCTAAAAAGGAATAACTTTTAAAAAGTTAAAAGCACCATAAGGATAGCATGTTATATCAGTTTCTTTTGTCATTGCTGTACCTGACAAGAAGCAACTTATTGGACAAAGAGTTTATTTTGGCTTACAGTTTACAAGGATACAGTCCATCGTGTTGAGGAAAGTATGGCAGTGGGGGTAGGAGGCAGCTGCTTATATTGCACCTCAGGTAGAAGCAGATAGTGGCAGATGCTGGTGCTCAGTTACTCTTCTTTTAATGCAAGTTTGGGACCCCAGTCATGGCATGGTGTTACCCACATTTAGGGTTGGTTTTCCTGCCTTAGTTAACTAATCTAGACAATCCCTCACAGATATGCCCAGAGGCTTGTCTCTTTGGTAATTCTAGGTCTTGCTAAGTTGACAGCATTAACCATCACATGTTACTGGTATTTTTAGGAAAGCAAAAGTGCTTATAGAGAATAAAATTACATTCACCTTTACTTTATTTTACTTTATTTTTTAAATTTCATTTTACATTCCAACCAAAGTTCTGCCTTCCACCTCCCTCACATCCTTCCCCGAGGCCAACCCCAATCCACTCCTCTCAACAGGTAAGGGCTCCCATGGTGAGTCAACAAAGCCTGGCACATTAAGTTGAGGCAGGACCAAGCCTCTCCCTTGTGCATTAAGGCTAAGCATGGCATTCCCTCATAGGGAATGGGCTCCAACAAGCTAGTTCATGCACTAGGGATAGATCCTGGTTCTATTGCCAGGGGCCCCTCAGATAGCCAAGCTTCATAACTGTCTCCCACATATTGAAGGGCCTAGTGTGGTTCCATGGAGGCTCCACAGCAAATAGAAGCAGCCATTAAAAGTTTCCCAACCAAAAAAAGCCATGGACCAGATGGCTTCAGCACAGAATTCTACCAGAATTTCAAAGAAGAACTAATACCAATACTCTTCAAATTGTTACACACAATAGAAGCAGAAGGAACATTGCCAAACTCCTTTGGTAGGGCTACAGTTACACTGATACCTAAACCACACAAAGATACAATAAAGAAAGCCTGGCAGTGGTGGCACACACCTTTAGTTCCAGCACTCGGGAGGCAGAGGCAGGCAGATCTCTGTGAGTTCGAGGCCAGCCTGGTCTCCAGAGCGAGTGCCAGGATAGGCTCCAAAGCTACATAGAGAAATCCTGTCTCGGAAAAACAAAAACCAAAAAAAAAAAAAAAGAAAAGAAAAAAAAAGAGTGGAGGCAGGTGTGATAGTTAATATTTGTAATCTCAGAGAGGATGAGGCAGGAGGACTTCCCTGAGTTTGAGGCCATGTAGTCTATAATTTGAAAGTGTGTATCATAAAAATCATTAAGAGCCAGGCGGTGGTGGTGCACGCCTTTAATTCCAGCACTTGGGAGGCAAAGGCAGGCGGATCTCTGTGAGTTAGCCTGGTCTACAAGAGCTAGTCCCAGGACAGCCTCCAAAGCCACAGAGAAACCCTGTCTTGAAAAACAACAACAACAAAAAATCATTAAGGAATTGAGAGTGGAATTCAGGCAAAGATAAGAGATATGTCTTGTTAGACATAAGATAATGATGGCATATTTAAGTAAATGTAATTGAGTAAAGAAAAACAAGCTAATGAAATCGATTCACATGGCTATCAAAGCTCTATAAACACACGAGTTCTTCTACAGCAAATGTGTGGAAGAAAACAAAAGTAGAGGAAACACTTTCATGGGTCACATATAACCACAGAGAGACAATGAAGATAAATAATAATAACAGATTAGGAATGACTAGTCCATGAGAAGAGGCATCTAAAAAGAAGAGGCTAAACCAAACGTAATCTTTGCTTAGGAAGGAATTAACTATTATAAACGTTTGAAATCAAGATGCTTCTGGAATGGAGGAAAAGATTTCCTAAAGGGGAATAAAAATAAAGGTGTCAGGGAAAATAAATATAACAAACAGCATATTTAACCCTCATCTGTTCTTTGAAGATTTAACATTACCTGTTCGGAAGTTTTTGTAGCTTTTCTTCCTTGCTCTAGATCAACTGCAGCTGCTACAAGTAAACATGTTTTCTGTGCAATCAGTAGTCCTTGATCAGAAGGACAAAAAAGGGACAGCTGATAAGAAATAACCAGAACATCAATGAATGCTGAGAATTCTGTCAGGTGAACACAATCAGAATCAAAATCAGCAACATCTTGTCTGAATGAGCACATTCTGCTGGAAAACCACATGTTGCCATAAAAATGATATAGACTATCAAGCTGATTTACAGTTTTAATTTTACATTACTTTTCATTGTTCTTAGTACCTTCCTAGAGATAAAAGGCTTCTCTTCTGTTTTTTTTCTCTCAATGACAAGTACTGTCATTTGGGCCTGAATGCCTGTCTAGTAATTTACTTCTTGGGTGATGCTGTCATTTATAGGTGAATTTCCCCCTGTGAAGTAGTTTTTCCTTTGTATGAAACAGAGCTCAAATCAGTACTTAAATTGTTATGTTTGAAGGGGACAATGCCAAATCCTGACAGGCATTAAACATAACCTCACCATTAAACCTTGTCCTCTAGTTTTAGGAAATACTCTGAGCTTTTTACTATAATAAAACGCTAAGCCACTTTGATGTCTCCATGTCAGTCTTATACAAGCATTACCACAAATGTCAAAACTGAAATGGACTTATGCCATCTAATTAAACCTGCATTTATACATAAACTTTCAGGCTTTTTATACTGATACTTGGGATTAAGCCTAAGACCTTGCACATGCTAAACAGGTATTCCACCACTAAGTAACATCCCCAGCCCTCCAAAGACTTTCTTAATCTCCCAAACATTTAGGGATAACAGTCATGACCTTCACTGAATAAATAACATTTAAGTTGTCCAGTCCCTTTAGGTCTCAGGTTACTTAAGGTGAGGGAGCTGTGCTCTTCAGTTCATTCCAGCTCTAAAATTCTGAACATTTAATTGGTCTCAATTTGTCAGCCTGTGATACTTCTAAATGCAGATGAGGTATATTCTGTAACCCCTTTGCTTTCATTCCTTCACCAGTACTTGAACCTCTTTCTAACTTTTTAATGTCTACTTTGGAGGCAAATGACTATTTTTAAATGCTTAAATGAATAATAGTAAATTCACAAATTCTTACATATAGAACCTGGTCTAGGCAAAAATAATAATAAATGAGACTCAAACTTCTCATCTCCCTTTTCAACCCCTGCTGTTCATAGGTACTTATGTTACATTTCTACAAATGTATTTGTGTGACCTTTCCTACTGTGTTGGTAGCTGGTAACATTGGGGCATGCCCATTCTAAAGATACTTCTGTTTTAATATAAGACTCTGGAACTCTCAGATCCTGACAAAGGCAAAGAAATAGTTCTGTAATGGCAGAACTTTGGGCTCTATAATGAATATTTGTCATGAAATTTACCTTATAAGAAACCATAAAAAAGTTTTTCATTGTATCTAGATCCTTCTCAGACTGCAGAGCTAAGTTCCAAGCTGAAAGTAAAGATGAATAATATAACTGTGAAAAATCAACTGTTTAGTCTGTATCACCACAATCTCTACTGTCAACATTTTCAATGATCACATACATACATACATACATACACTGTTAAAGGGGTTCTTGGGATTAATTATAGTTTACTGAAATTTTTTAATTTAAAATTAATTAAAAAGAATTTAAATAGGTCAATAAACTATTTGTTACTGGAAAATTAAATTGACTTTATGTTTATCAAGAATTTTTTTTGCCCAGAAATTTAAAGATTGCTACTACTTCTAATCATCCATTCTAAGTCAATGACACATGAGGTACTGCTTAAATTTTTAAAAGTTTGAGACATACAAAAAGAATTCTCAGTACTATATTTATCTGCAATAGTAGCAATTGAAGAAACAGGCCATGAATTTGAAAGGGAGTAAGATTTTTGTGGGGTGGGAAATAGGAAAAGCTGGAGAAGGGAAAGGGAGAGGAAAATGATTTCTCACCTCCTAAACAGATCACTATTTTCATTTTTAACAGTAAATCAGTTTTGCTTATTTTTAACCTGTGTATAAACTGAATCTTGTATTATGTACTCTTTAATGCCTGGCTCTTTTTGTTCAATAATATGTTTCTGACATGCATCCATATTGTTGCACAGTTTGTTTTTGGTTGATCACATCAGAGAATAAGTTCTAGAGCTTTCTAGAGCAGGTTTAGAAAAATAATTTGGGGAATTAAAGTTATAATCCATCATTTTTTGATCATTCTCCATAGAAAAGAAAGTAAGTATGAAATACTTTGTTATGTGTGAGATAAAAACACTGTTTCATATGAAATCCTTAAGTAAAAAGTGATCCTACATAAGAGATGTCTGCATTTCTATTTTACATACAATAAAACCAAGATTAAGCAAGTTATATATGTATACCAGAGGTTCAGAAGAAACAGCCAGAGTCTGTGAACCCACCTCTGATTCTATTATACTAAAAAGTTTTCCATGCCCACAGAATTTACTTTTACCTATTTTTCTGAACCAATTGGCATCATTAACCCTAGAATCCAAAGCTGAAGGATCGTCATCAAAATGCTGAGAAAACTTCAGGAGTGCTGTATCAAATAGAAAAATGGGATATTTATCTTATATGCTAGCAAAGTTCTTAATCATCCTTTAAAGACTGTGAATCTAGAAAGGTCATTTCTGTATATATGTGTATGGTTTCATATGAAAAATAATCTAAGTGAGAAAAAGCATTACTATGTTCCATGAAGGCATTAACTCAAACTTTGAGGGAACAAACATATCCTTAGAGAGAATTATAAATTTAATTATTACAATTATTCACTACTTGAGGCACATGAAATAAAAATGGGAATAATAACTAAAATGATGCTTAGTATGCATGAATCCCTCAGTTCAATCTCCAACACCAAACAAAACACCCTAAAATAATTCATGGTATCAGTAGGCTGGCATAATATTTACTTAGCTTACACAGTAAGTACAATAGAGAACCAGAACATGCCATCATCACCAGAAAGCACTTATTACTTACCCCATGCTCTTCTCAGAAAAAGAATACCAACAAGCAGAGTTTTCTTCATTTGAAGAGTTTAGGCTTTGAGCCATTTTGCTATGTTTATATTCCTGTATTTGAGTATAAAATTCAACTATTGCAGTAAGTAGATTACAGTTTCTAAGATACAGACTTTTGGGTATATTCAGAAATGACATGTCTTTTGAGTAAAAGGAACACCACCAAAGAAAGCATGGTGCTGGTAAAAAGAATGTGATGTTGCTAGATACTAGTTTAAAGAAGTGAACAGGAAAAATTATGAGTAGGCAGAGGAGAAGAGATGACACAGACTTGTATAAGTAGGCAAAATAAGAGGTCACAAAAAACAGCAGTGTTCAGAGGATTTCATTTGTCATGTTCATTTTTACATGTTCAATTAATAGGACAGGAAATTAAAAGGGAGGGCAGGATGGGAGAAGAGGGAGAGAAAGAGGGCAGGAGGGAGGGAAGTGTCTTTAAAACAAATTAAGATAAAATGGAGCTGAAATCACATTTAGTAGTAGATGCTAGTGATGCCAAACATTTCCCTTCTTGTGTTTAAAAAAACTAAAATATGTCCTGTGATAAACATTAATAATGAGCATGAAGTCTAACTGAAATAGTGTATTAGAGTCAGGATGCTCAATATATTTGGAGAATTCAACAGAGGAGAGAGGCAAGATGAAGGACTCAAAATAAGGAAGAACTTACCTGTATTCAAGTAAGTCAAAAGTCTATCCATTTCTTTCTTTCTAAAAATTAAAGAAAAGGGAGTTTTTAATGTTCTAAACATTTATGTATGTAGAAAATAACTGAAGAGAAACACTATTTGTTTCTGAGAATTGGGCTAAAAAATGACAAAAATATGCAGTTTCTAGTTCAATGATAATCTATGACTTCAATACATATCCTCCACTATAAGGTATGGTTACTTATAACAAGTGTCTTCAAAGTTTTCTCTCTATTTCTAACTCCTATTTTTGGAAAACAATTTCAATGACTGATAAGATTTCATATTTGGGAGCAGGTAGTAACCTTTGTGATTTATAAGCTCAGCTTCCTTTTTAAAGATTTATATATTTTATGTGTATGTGTGCTTGTCTGCATGTATGTATGTGCACCACATGTGTGCAGTACCTACAGAGGCCAGAAGAACTCATTAGATCCTCTGGAACTACAGTTACAGGTGGTGTGAGCTGTGCTGTGGATACTGGGAACTGAACCTGGGTCCTCTGCAGAACAACAAATGCTCTTAATTGCTGAACCATCTCTCCAAGCCCTGGTTTTTTTCTCTGTGTGTTTTGTTTTGTTGTTGTTCTATTTTGTTTTTCTTGTTGTTCTGTTTGTCTTAGGACAGGAATTTGAATCTCTGTCTTAAGTAAAATTGTATAGAAGTCTAATGTCTAAGAAAAAGGAAGGCTGATGGTGTGACTCAGTGCTAGAATACTTGCCTCAAATGAGATGCTTTAGATTCTGTCTCCAGCATAGAAAAAAACTGGATGTGCTCTGAGTGAAGCAAGAGTAGATGGTGGACTAGAACCTCCTCTTTAAGGACATGCCACATAATTACCAGTATTCTGAGAAAAAACCATTTATCTAATACAAACTCCTCATTTTACAGTTGAAGAAGCATACCTTGTATCAGGGAATGGTTTATATAAGGTGCCATGGTTAATGACAAAGTCAAGTCTTCTACCCTGATCTTTTAGTCTTCTGTCAAGTTTGTCTAGGGGGGTTAATAAATTTTAGCAAAGGATTTTAACTTCCCATTCTATTTTTAGGAGACTGGAAATTGACATTCTGACCTAACAAGTAAACAGCAGAACAGACTGAAAAATCAACAACTCTTCTTGACTCCTTAACAGTAGTGAGAAATAAGGCCAAGTTACTGCCCAAAAGATAGGTGAATATGGTGATATATAGAGCAAAGACTTGGGTTTAGAAATGACTGTGGGAACTAAAGCCTTAGTGAGAAAAGCTGGACTATGGTTGACAACTCACTGGATGCTTATCCTGGACAAGTCTTAGAACTAAAACCTCCAGTTATAAAGGAGGCCTCAACACTTTCACAAAATTCAGCTCTGTACTTTAGCCATGTGAGTACAGTAGGCATTGGAGAAAAACCCTTTCATGTTTCTGGCAAGGATGGGGAAATGAATCATTTTTGAAATATTTTAGGATACTATGTCCTGAACACAGAGACACTGAACTGTTACCTCACTAGAGCCTTCACAAACCCAGCTACAAACCTTGCGATCTACAGGGGTGATGTACCTGCATGATACCCTAGTGCAATAATGGAACAAACATTGTGGGAGTAATCGGCCAATACTTGATTGGATTCAAGGCTCATTCTATGAGATAGAACCCATTCCTGACACTTCTTGGGTGTCTGAAACTAGATATGTGATGTGCCTAGAGGAAAATCAAATACTACTTTTCTACTAAACTAATGTAGCAATAAAATGACTTTCAATGACATTCTGTTAACACCCATAGATCTGTGACTTCCTCAACCATCATTAGAGAAGCTTCTTCCTGCTGTAGAGTGGAACAAATACAGAGATCCATAATTGGACAATGGACAAAGAGTGAGACACTTTGGAACAGTCAGTCCTAAATCAAAATCCTCCCCTCAGGACTCAGGGAGCTATGCGGAAAGAGGAGATAGGAAGATTATAAGAGCCAGAGGGGATGGATGACTCCAAGGAAACCTTGTCTTCCAGACACAAGACTGATGACTTATGCACATATAAACTCACAGAACCTGGGGCAGCATGCACAGGTTCAAGCCAGACAATGCCCCCAGAGTTGAGAGAGGGAACTGAATACCATTTCCCATTTCTAGCCAAAAAAGCCATCCCCAACTGTCAACTCCTTGCAAAGGCAAAATTAGTTTTCTCCAATGGAATCTCAAGGTATATTTAAACCACACTTAGGGCTCCATGCCTAGCAGTAGATGCCAACACAAAATGAAATCTATGGTGGTGTAATTTTTGTCTCATATTGCTTTGTTTGGGTACTTTGTTTAAAAAATCTTACTGGTCTTTTGCTTGTATGTTATGGTTTCTGATTTTGTGTTTTTATGGGTTTTGTAGTGTGTGTTTCTCGTGCTTTTTTGTTTTATATATATTTGATGGGTTTTATTTGCTTATGTGTTTTCAAAAGAGAGAACAAAAGTTGTGAAGTTGGGTAGGGAGATGGGAAGCATCTGGAAGGAGATGGGAAGGGATACTATGAGCATAATATATTGTAAGGAAGAATATGGGCATAGACAGTCATAAAAAGAAACAGTTTAAAAATAATAAACTCTTTAAAGAGACAATAAAAATAATATAAAAGAAAAAGCCACAAAAGATGGAAAATACTGTTGATTTTGAATTTTTTGAATGCTGATGAGCAAATAACGGCTGGAAGACATGGGCTTGTGAACAGGACTGCAAAATTGAACCAACTTAGATACTTGGTTATCTTAAGTTTAAAAAAGAAGCCAAAATATATTTGTCAAATGAAAACCAAAAAAAAATGCTTTGGAGAAGAGTTTTTGCTTTTGTTCCTATAGGAGACGAGAGGTTGTGTATTCCTTCAGGAATAATATGGATCAGGTTTGATCAAGGGAGACTTCCTGAATCTTGACAGTGATATACAACAAAGGTTATACCTGGTCTTGCCAGGACTTAGCCATTATCTCAAATTTTCTCAGGGACCTCTAAAGATGCCTTCACCTACAGACAACAGGAAGCAGTTTGGAGAACACAATGCCCACCTTCCCAAGAAGGGTGTGAGAGGCTGTTGGTTATTTGGTGGGTTATGGATGTTTGTTATCATTTAGGGGAATATAGTTTACTGATACAAATTTTAAATTACTTCTGTTACACTGTATATATGTTTCTACTCTTGTTTGAGTTATTGTGAATATGCAGTTCATTTAAAAATGCAATGTAGAAATGAGGTTAGTAGTTAATCTATGGTGATCAGACTTGTAGTCACATTAGGCAAGCTCATACAGTGATATATTGTAGATAGATAAATGTTCTTCAAACACTTCAAATACCTATAGAATATGACATTTAAAATGCTTTGTTAATTTAGGACAATGAGACACAGCTGCTCCTGGCAGCACCAATTTATTTCATAAAATAATGATGGACATTAAAGAAACGCCATAGGACTTTGCTTTCATTGTGGCAAGGCTAGCCATGTGGGCAAGAAACTGCCTTTGTCTTGACTGACAGTGTGCTGTATAACAGGACATGCAAGACCCAAAGGAAATTAACTGTTGAACTTTACAAAAACAAGGTGGGGCAGTCCTATAGGGTTCCTGCTTCACAGAAGAGTCTGCCAGACATTCTGTAGGACACAGAGGAAAGCAACTGATAAATTTTGCCAGTATAAGATGGGACAGCCCTTCAAGTTTCCTGCTTCACTGAAAAGTCTGCCAGATACTCTAGGCCCATAGGCCAAAGATGGATGCCTCAACACTGCAGAGGAACTTTGGGTGACTGTCTAGGCAGCCAGATATCTGTCATTTCTAGAGTTTTAGAAGTTGCTTACAATGCACTTCCTATTTATTCAAATAATACTATATCCTTCTGGGTATTTGATGGAGTTAAAGACTAAATGATTAGTTACAGTTTTCCTTAGCTATGATAGAAAGTGAGTTAGCTATATAACTTTGGAATCACTGAATTTGCTAAATACAAATTGACTTCATATTGTAAATGTAATTCTTACTTAGTAACTGATTTTGTTGTATACAGTTTTACTATGTTAAAGTTACACCTTTCATTTTTATTTATACAAAAGTGAAAGTGTTGTTTAGTATTGTGATGCAGTACATTTGCTTATGCTGTGGTTAAAAAGAAAAGGAGATCTTGTCATAGAGGTCTTTCATTTGCTTGTTAGAGCTACACCAAGTTATTTTATATTATTTGAGGTTATTGTAAAGGGTATTGATTCTCTGACTTCTTACTCAGCCCATTTATCATTTGTATATAGGAAAGCTACTAATTCTTTTTAGTTAATCCTGTATCCAGCCACTTGACTAAATGTGTTTATCAGCTGTAGAAATTCCCTGGTAGAGGTTTTGGGGTCGTTTATGTATACTAACATATCATCTGAGAATCCTGCAGAAGACAGGGAGGAAGGATTATAGGAGTCAGGGGGGTCAAGGACACCACAAGAAAACCCACAGAATCAACTAACCATGGCTCATAGGGGCCCACAGAGACTGAATCAACAACCAGGGCCCTTGCACGGGACTGACCTAGGCACTCTGCATATGTTACAGTTATGCAGCTTGGTCCTCTTGTGGGACTCCTAACAGTGGGAACATGGGCTTTTCTCTGCCTCTTTTACTGGCTTTTGAGACCTTAGCTCCTCATACTGGGTCACATTGCCCAGCTTTAATTCATAGGGAGGTGCTTAGTCTTGTTACAACCTGACATGCCATGTTTTCTGGATATCCATAGGAGACCTGCCCTTTAATAAACAGAAACAGAGTGGGGGGGTGGATTAAAGGATGGAAACAGAGGGGGTGGGCACAGAAACTGGGAAGCAAAGAGGGAGGGGAAACTGCAGCTGGGCTGTAAAATAAATAAATATTTTAAAAAAGAAAAGGAGAACTAGTAGACACAAGTAAGGCAAGAAAATGAGCTATGCAATAAGGGAAATCAAATATTACATCAACATCTCAGAGAAGCTAAAAATGTGTAATGAATTGTCTCAAGACAGGAAAATGACACTGTGGGTA